GAATAAAGGTATTCATTTAATATTCTGAGTATATTTAAATAAAAATAACTACGTTAAGTTATTATATTATATATATTTATTTTACTATGAGGGGAAGACACTGTTGTATACTATCACAGGTTACAGGGCTTCTAATGATTACATGTTTTTCACTTCTTTGTACCCAATAAACTCATTATTATTGGGGGGATATTCATTTATTTTCTCGTCTGGTTGGGTTTATAAATAAAAATAAAAAATAGATATATATTGCATATAATATTATGGATAAAAATAAACATATATATAAATATTAATAATTATTTACAAATAATAATATTATTATGTTGGGGATATTTATTTGTTTTGGGTTTATAAATAAAAATAAAAAATAGATATATATTGCATATAATATTATAGATAAAAATAAACATATATATATAATATTATTATGTTGGGGATATTTATTTGTTTTCTCGTCTGGTTGGGTTTATAGATAAAAATTAAACATATTGCATATATAAAATAAATATTATGAATAAAAATAAATATATAGATATAAATATTGTATATAAAACAATATTAAATATTATTTATAATACATATATAAATAGGACCCAACCAGACGGAAGCCCTCGGCACGGGAGACCAAACAGCCGAGGGTTAGGGTGAAAGGGAGAGAAACCGGCGGACGATGCGATATTATTATTATTATTTGTAAATAAATGAAATATTTGAAAAATAATAAACGAATTTGTGTATGTATATTAATTCTAATCCTTACATTGGGCCACAGAGCCCAATTTGTAACTACGTTTAATTCCATTAATTTGAAGTTATACCTATAAAAATCATTCATTTATACAATGCATTAATTACTAAGTTAATAAATAAGGTTATTTCCCATAGAAAAACAAAACATCAGTCAAGTTGGTGTGTTTCAAGATTCTATGAAAATTGTTTATGCCGCTGGGTACTTATTGGGATTAATTCCTGTGACAGGACTTTTAAGGCAAGAAGTAACAAGACTACGGTAAATCGGTTTTTTTTTACATTTTCGTAAAAATACTAACGCTAATATGATAATATCAATTCTGGTAAGAAAATTAAAATTAAAATTCAACACCTTACGATGAGCAACTTTTTTTTATCTTCAATTTAGTGCTGCCTAGTACTTAAGATGAAACTTTAATCACTAAATTAAAAGTTCAGTAGCAAAAGGCGACTTCTCTAGTTTTCAAATATTAAATATAAAATTTTTATTTAATAAAATGTGCTTGAAGCCTATTAGATGATGCATTACTAAAAATGGAATAAAAAGAAAATAGGTAAGACGTCAAGATTATCGCCCCAGAGCGTCTGTACGATATTATACGGAAAGTATAGATCGAATCGTGGCAGCATAAAAAAATTTTGGACATTTACATTTTAAGTAATTAAATTTAAATTGTGGTTTTTGTTCTTATTTCAGATTTTCATTTCTCTCATGGAAATATTTATATTTCCTTGTCATTAGTGTGCCTCAGGTGATAATCACAATTATATGCTTTTATTCATCAATAACTAAACGTGTTTCGATATCATCAATGAGTAAGTTTAAATCTATATTGAAAAACCTAGTAACTGTGGTAGGGCGGTTTAGGTAACCTAAAACGGTGGTAGGGCCACGCAGTAGCCTCGGCTGTTGCACGAATGGGCAGGCCCGTCCGGGTGGGTACCACGACCTCACAGAAGACCAGCGTAAAGTGGAAGTATGACAAATACTTTCGCGTTTCGTCTGGTGAGTGAGGTAGCCGGAGCCCAATTTTCAAAAGGTTGTCAACACATCTGTAACCCTCGGGTGTAGCAGATGTCCATGGGCGGCGGTATTCACTTACCATCAGGTGAACCGTCTGCTCGTTTGGCAACTTTTCAAATAAAAAAAAAAAAAAAAAAAAAAAAAAAAAAAAAACTTCACACATGTATTACATTAGTTTAATACTTTAGTTTGAAATTTGGTTTTCAAAATCTGATTACAAGAAGTTCAAAAATATCTAATCTCTTAGCTATAAGGTAACTGATTGAACTGTTCTTCACAAATTTAATCAAAATTACATAATATTATTATAAAGTTACTAATAACAATTAGTAATTTACTTTCAGTATACGCTTGCTTTTACGCTTCCACGAGCATCACTTGCATAAATTTCGTTAAGATCTCGACCAAATGGCCCACTTTGATCAACAAGTTGTCAAATTCCAACATCGATGAATACTCGGATTCAAATGTTATATTGAAGTGCAAGGCCATTTCAGTAGCATATATAGGGGTATCTGTGGGTACGCATCAAGATTATTAAAATACCCGATAGTATATAAGATGTTCACGGGAAACTTATTAGATTGCTTATATTGCGTTTAGCTTGTTTCATCAGAATTTTTTTTATACACATATTGTATAACTAACTAATAAGCCTATGAAAAGAGTAAAAAATATTTTCTCTTTATTGCAGTAAACCACGGATTACGCATTATGGAAAGACTTTCAACGATAAAAGACTGTTATCCCAACTCAACAGATGTCTTAAAGTTATACAGTTACATAAGCTACAAATGGCTTTTTGAGCTTTATTTTCCAGATAACTATTTTCTTATGGGTTTTTTGATAGTAAGTTTAATACACATTGTGAACATAATTAAAAATGTCAAAAAAATCCTTAACTATATATTTTGTTGATATATTTTTGTGTGATGACTCGGTTGCGCCGTTCGATTCCCACACGGAACAGGTAATGGAACATGGAATAAGGGCAGGAAGATAGTGATGATATATATTTGGTGGCAGCTATATTTAAATCTGAGTAATGTTTCTTTTATAAGCCTAAAAGTTACCTAAGCCCATTAAACAGCGATGGAAATGTAATAGTAATATGCAGCGAAAAATTTTGTGGTAGTTTATGTATGTTGTGTACATACTTTTAAGTTTTTATTGTTTATGTTTTTTGTTACATTTTTCATCTGTGTTTAATTTAGTGTCTTTTTATTTTATCGCATTTCCACTTCCCGTGATTTTTTATTTAGTACTGTTCATATACCGATGTTTCCAGTAAAAAATATTATTTTAACTGTGGGCAGTGTTGCCTCTGAGCAGCTGCTACTGATACACGAATGGGCCCGTTCGAGTAATTAATACAGGCTCACAGGAAATATAGATATACATATTTTCGGATCCCATTTGGTGAAACGTGATTTGGTGAACCGTGATTTCGTGAACCGTGTTGGAGGTAAACGGGGTCCACTATTTTTATATTTTCCAACGCCTCTGCAACCCTTCAGATACCTAATGTATTAGGAGCAGGTGTTAGGTATACATGGCGGATACCTACAAAGGTATTCATGGCGGCGGTTATCTCTTAACATCATGTGGACCACGTGATCTTGTCAACACTTGTCAACTTTTCTTTAATTTGTTTTCTAATTAAACCTATACTTTAATAACTGAAGTCTAATAAGTTTAATAGATAAGTTAGATGATTATCATAAGACGATATCACTTTTAAGAACACCCGGGCCGCTGTGGTGGCCATTTTTGGTCTTTATGTCTTAATTAACTTGTTGTTACTTTTTCTTACCTTATTAAACTTTTTGATTCCATACACTTACACCCAGTTTCCGAAAGCGCAATCAATTTTAATTTACGATAAATCTCTTGTCAATCGCTGTTTAACATGATCTGAGTTGCTAGAATGTCTTAAACAACATTGATTTTGATTTGCAATTAGTCACTGATTAACGGACAATCAACAGAAAATCGAGTTTCTGAAAGCGTTTTTCGGTGGTCAAAGAGCTGTCAAAAGTTTTATTAAGTAATCTGTCAATTTGGAAGATCAATCGTTGGTTTAAAATGTTATTTATCAAAAATCTTAGTTTTTATGAAAAATAAAAATAATTCCCTAATACGTTGTTAGGACATTCATGTTTTCTATTACCTATTCATTATTTATTATTATGCGAACATATAATGAGATTAGAAAAAATACAAAATGCAATTCAAAAGTTAATAAATAATATGGATTCTTTCTTTTTATAATACTTGTTTATTATTGATAAAAGTTCATTTTTTTCACGTTCTCTAAAGTTTTTTTTTTTTGACATTTTGCATGTATTTATATATATAATTAATAAATAAAATTTTATTATAGCTCGGATTTTTACGTTGGCAATCACACGGTGACAGGACTGGATAGTGACGTTAATTTAAGTTTTGTTTAAAAAGGGACAGCTATACAATAGAAAGAGTTAGTTGACGTAAATCATTCATTTCATTCATTATCATTGGTTATACAGTGATTAGCTAATTTTTCTTGAACAAACCTTCCAGAAATCCAAGGGAGTTTAACAAGAGATTAACAGCTGATCATTTTTGACATAGTGTTATGTGATTGCTGCTTTGATTGGCCTTTCGGAAACTGGGCATTAGTCAAGGATGAATCTTAATACTGACAGAATTTTATTGTTAGTGACCTTAGCTAAAAGTCAAAATAGCTACTTCCTTGTCCAATCAGCTTTGCAATCCGTAAACCAATTTAGCACAATTTTTCACGATGTATTCAGAAATGTTTTGATTAGAATAAACTTTATTTGATGAGAGTAAAATATTAAATTTATTCTATATTCTAATTTATATATACTTTCATACTCTTCCGTGTGTGTAATTTTCGTAAATATATATAATATATAAATAATATATAAATATTTTAGGACACATTTTTACACAACATTTTATTATAACAACATTATAATATACACAAGGTTTTTTTCTTTACATATTTAAATTTTATTTGTTTGAAATTAATGGTTACATTGTTATCGTTAAGTTATTAAATATGCATCTCCTCTTTATTATTTTGGTATTTTGTATTAAATATTTCCCGCAGTTAAAAACCATAAAATAAAAAATCCTAATTGTGATTTTACAGCCCCTAAACATAATGGCGACCATGATTTGGTATTATCCGGATCTATTTATCGCCTGTATAAGCATGTACTTAACCTCAGTTATTAAACAGGTGAATAAAAAAATAATCGCGTCTGTAAACACGGTGAGTAGAGTATATTTTATTGATTAAAAATTCAAAGGAAAAAAAGTGTGTTGGTTTTTGGGAAAATACATTACTATTGACTTTGACTTCACTCGTATATAACTTCTGTATCATGCGTATAAGCATGCATCAAACTTTTATTAATGATGTGGATTGATTGACAATTTGAGATTTTGCATTTTTTGCATGCAAGAGCATTGTCCTTTTATGAATTTGAGTTAAGTAAATATCGCACATTATTACAAGCATCGTTTTACGACTTGTGTGCATACTTATTATATAAATAATCATTTTTTAAATAAGTTTAGGTAATTATGAACTTAACTTATATGGTTATTGGGTAAATAAGCTTACAAATTAAATTTGTAATACATAATAATAAAAAGCAATTAATGCCAACACCAATAAATAATTAATTTTACATTATAGTTTATTTTTACAATGTAAATATGTTTTTTTTTGTGCTTTGTTATTAATTATTTAATAATCTAACTAGGTGAGCTTTTTTAGCTGAGGAATATTTTTGATGTCATCAGCCTTGCGTTTTCTTTGTCTTGATATTTTATTTTTAAAATTAATAATTTTTAATATTTCAGAACCTACCGTCATCCTATTGGAAACGTTTACGTGAAGATTATAATAACGTTGCTGGTGTCGTACGCTCGTTTGACGAAGTTTTCAACTGCCTAATATTTTCTTCTTTTGCTAATAACTTATTCTTCGTATGTTTTCACATTTATTACCTGCTATCGTAAGTATTTCAAAGTTTACTCTTGTGGGTTTAAACGAATTGTTGTCATAACATTTACATTTTAATTTACATTATATTTTAGAAGACTCCGTGGCGGTGTTGCCAAGGTATTGGCTTCAGCGTCGGGGGTCGTTGGTTCGATTCCCACACGGGACAACTATTTGTGCGACCCACAGATAGTTGTTTCGCATCTGGGTGTTTGTCGTTGTGCAATTTATGTTTGTAAAACGTCCTTACAACACAGGATAATGTTATCCTAAAGTGAGGGCAATGTTAATAAAAAAAAATAACATAATTGGCATGAATGTGCCCATATTTTTACACTGTAACAGATAATTTTATTTTCTAATAAAACATAAAACGTACGGTAAAATATAAAATACTATATACTATACAGATTGTTAAATAAATATTTGTGTCCGTTTTCAATTTTTATAGATAAATCACTCATTTTATCTATTTATCAATTTTAACTTATTTCTAGTCGTGAAACATGTAAGTAATATAAATTTCTTTATATTAAAAAAATAAATCAAATATATTGATTGATGATTCATTCATTTAATTAAAAATTGTCTCTGCCAGGAACGGAATAAGCATCTCTAAAAAGCTGATTGGCGGATCTTGCTCAAATTATTCGAACAGGTAAGGTGTTTTTGATTGATTTTTAACAAGAGACAAGCTTTTATTCGATATAAGTGAATTTATTATTTATTAATTACAGGGTCAAACTAATTTTATTTAAAATTTTAACATAGAAATAAACAAATTTATAAATTCGATGTCTTCGGGGATGTTTTGAAAATTTCACAAATTTTATCGATTTTGTAGAGCATGATTTGTTTTTTTAATATATTTTCAAATTGAACACGTATTACGATTATGGTACTACCATAATCCTAATATTTACGTGTTCAAGTTCCGCAAATTAGGAAAATTATCTAAAATTACCCCAATGGGTTCGCTCGTAATTAGGAGCTCTCAATATGTCATTAAGGGATGAAAAACAACAAACAATTTTTAGGCCTAAGTTTCATTATTATATGCAAGCAAATGGTTAATGGTAAAAAAATTGTTTTACTTTTAAGCTTACGTTTTTAGAAATGCAAGAGGTATATAATGTGTCGTAGTCTCGTAAGAATTTTCACTTAAAGTAATATACCGAATGTGTTTGTGTTTTACATTACTGTGCCCGTTTATATACAAGTCCAAAAAATATCTAACAACACAAAAATATTTAGATAAGTTTTGATATTTCTACATATTCAGAAAGTAAATGTCACCCCTAACAAACTTTGAATTGTACAATCACCCAGAGAGAGGAATGTTGTTCGTGCATCATAAAAATCTACTACCAAATAAGTTCTTAATCACTGCCCTAAAAGTTTCCCTTGGAAACTACCCTAAACGGATGTTAAATCCTTTGCAGCCACGTGGTCGGGTACGAGAACACCGTTTACTATGTATCTTCGTTGTTGTTCACTCTCATGCGTCTCCTCTTGGTTGCTCTGTCCGCGGCCGAAGTCAACACCGTCTCGCTCGCCGCCGCACCATATTTGTACAATGTGCCATCGACGGTCTTCTGTTCGGAGGCGAGTTTGAATTTCAACGCGTATGTTTAAGTACTTGTGAGTAGGTCCATGCAGCAGCCTCGGCTGTTGCACAAATGGGCAGGCTCGTCCGTGTAAGTAACACGACCTCACAGAAGACCGGAGTGAAGTGGAAGTTTAATACTTTCGCGATTCGTCTGGAGAGGAGGTGGCCGGAGGCCAATTTTCAAAAGGTTGTGAACGCATCAGGAACCCTCGGGTGTAGCAGATGTCCATGGGCGGGGGTGGTCACTTAACATCAGGTGAACCGTCTGCTCTCATTTACCAAATTTTCAGATAAAAAAGCTCTTTTTTATCTAGAAGAATCCGTTATGGAGATAACGGATTCTCTCTTCGAAGAAGAGACGTCTAGTGTATTTCTATCGATTAAAACCCCACAGTTATCTCGACCAGCTCTAATAAGAGTTGATTAGATACACCGTTGATGTTTTTAGTGCCCTGACTAATCGCATCCGCACCTTGGTGACGTCCTTCCTCGACCCCAATAAGCGATCGCAAATGCCAATAGACACCTTAGTGACACATAATGTAGATCTCAGAGTCGCTTTTCAGTTCAAGCGATTACAAGCTTAAGTCCAATATAACACAGGTGATTATAACGATTACACGCGTAAATGCAATATATATTGTCTTATAATATGTCTTATACCTATGTCAAATCCAAACAACACATCCAACACATCCAACACATCCACAATACCCAACTGTAAACATTTGTTTATTTGCGTGGAACGTGTAAAACGTGTGGGTGCTGCACCGCATTCATTTTATTTACTACGTTTAAAAAAATGTCATTCTCTATTTTTCCCCTAATATTTCTATATATACAACTCTGAAATAAGACTCAGTAAGTTTCGGATTATAAGCAGTATTTAAAAAAATCCGCAAGTGCTAGTCTGACTTGCGCATGAAGAGTTCCGTACCATTATCTATGAAAACGGCAAAAAAATTATGTTTATTTTACTATGGGAGCCTCATTTTAATATATTTTTATTCTGTTTTTTTATTATTTGTTGAAACTGCAACAGAAGATACATGATATTATGTGAAAATTTCAACTAACTATCACGGGGAAGGGTTTTAAAGAAATCTCCTGTCTTGCTAGGTAGTTTGGAAAAGTTGATTTATATATTGAATCTTTACAGGTCGAGAGGTTCATTCATCAAATGCAAGGTGATGTGGTGGCCCTGAGTGGGCTTAAGTTTTTCTATGTGACCCGAGAGTTCGTTTTGTCTGTAAGTATGCATTACTAAAAAATAAATTAATAATGTTTATCAAATTAACGAATTCAGCATTTTTCCCAAAATATTTTACTTTATTTTACCGTAAAACCGTAACTATGAAACGTTTGCGTACTTTCAGATCATAGGCACAATTATTACGTATGAACTAGTGTTGCTCCAACTGAATGGCGACTTCATTGGAAAGTTTTGAGTTGTACACAGGAATTAATTAAAGTATTAGTAAGTTCTTAAAGTGTTTCAATATATAAGAAGGTTTAAATATTTTGAAGGTTAATTGATTTTATTAAAATATAAGTAGAAGAAATCATTTGTATTTTTTACCCAAAAATAATTTTTTTTTGTTATTTGGCAATGCAAAATATTTCTCAGAAACAGGTAGAACGGGTGCCTAGCATACTTTGTCTCAATTCGTGGTATTGTTGAATATAATCCTGGAGTGCTAAGAGTTTAACTCCGATGTAAATCTAAAAAGACCAGTGTGAAGTTGAAGTATTTATTATAATTCTGGGTTTGGTCTGGTGAGTGGGGTAACCGGGGCCTACTTTTTAATTACATGGTTTGCATAAACAGAGTGTTTTCGGTTAAATTTAGGCATCTCCACTAATTTATTTCGTTGTGTTTTTTAGACTTCACGAGTTTCATTCTTTAAATAATCCATTTTAAGAGTTTAAGTGTGGTGTGCCATCTAAGGGCCGCGACCTCGATGGCCCTTAGATGACACACCACACTTAAACGCACGCATGAGCACATGCGTGGCCCTACCCACAGCGGAGGGCCCTAACCCGTGGGTTCTGGCTAGCCCACCGGTTCTGCGTCAGATGAAGCTTTAATAGTCTCGGGACTGAAAGCAAAAACATCAGTTAATACAAGACAAGAGTTTAAGATCTATGGTATTGTATTTTTCTCACTGTCCAGGCACTCACTTTTCATTCAACCGTGCCTTCAACAATTCCCTAATACCCTTTGTGCAGAGGAGTTCTTTTCCCTGCTGTGGCACAGAGTAACAACCTATAACTGTTACTTTATTTTAGATTTATATATGTATAAGTAATAGTACACCAAATTTGTGACTTGAATTTGTGAAAGTTAAAACACCCTATTTTATAAAGTGGGATACTGATGATTATTCAAACGCCGATCTTCAAAATTTACGAATTATAGCTAAGAACACTTCAATCACATCAGATTTCAAATAAAAAAAAAAACCGCGTCATATGTTTAGAAGCTACAATACCACAGACGGACACAGAGATAAGCAGAAGGACAGTAAAACTCAAACTTATGACAACCCTCTTTTTCGTCGGGAGTCAAAAAAGAAACCTTTTTTAAAAAAAAAGTTCCATACTTCCGACAGTGCGCGGTTGTGGCTTCAGCCTTCGAGTTAATTGGATTACGATCTGGAATGCCGTTATTGCTTCTGTTTCGAGCTTAACAAAAAATCAATCAAAAAATCATCTACCTACCGTTGAGGTTGTTTCCGCAAGACTTGTAAGCAACAGTAGACTCTATGCTTTTGTAGCAAGATTCTTTATAAAGAATCAACTTAATGCAAATTTAAGAAACAAATTGCAATAAAAATCATAAAGGCGTATCGTGACTCTCGTATTAAAAATAAGTATATTTACTTTTACATGTTCCCATCAATCCCTACCTATCTATACCAATATTATAAAATATAAGAAATACGTTTGTTGTTTTAATCTTCTTTTACGTAGTTATGGAAAAACGGATTGGTATGTTTTGGGATATATATTTCATTAAGAATAACCGTATGATTTTTTCTCGGCTTATTTAAAATATTGTTACACTCCGTGGTTTGTTGACGTCCTAAATGTTAACGACATGCGGCAACAGTTTCGAATGACGCATGCGATATGATGGATGATTAACTATTTGATTGAATTACCCCTTGAAAATATTCATAGCAATCAATGCATTGTACTGTTCGTAGAATTATTTTCAGGGTCGTCAAATTGAATTAGCACCAACTCGTATGTGACGACCGCTCCAGCCATCTGAAATTATTCATTTCGCATATTAAAATATGAGTATAATTTGCGTTATTTTAAATTAATTTTTGTGCCTGCAACGTTTAACAACAAAACCTCTTACACCAACGAATACATACAAATTTGGTAAAAAAAGTTTATTTATTGTTGGTAAAAATATAAACTTATTGGAATTTTTTGATAGATCACATTAAACATTCTAATATTTTCTTTACTAATGCACGTAGTGTAATCCCTAATCAGGTAGGGTGTTATAGAGTTAATAATTTGTTTACTCTTCCCTTCTGAATTAATCTTAAAAATATCAGCAACAACTGCTTATAGTAGTCTCAAAATAGCGTATTTTTCCTGTGACCACCTCAAGAGTATGCTAACATTTTTTTAATATGTTTAATCAAACTCTAATTTACATTAAAAAGAACAAAATACAAAACAAAAGAGCTATGATGTCCATCGTATAGTGACCTACTTTACTTTAATTAATGTTTTCAGCCCGTAGACTATTAAAGTTCCATCTAACGTAGAAATTTTGGTTTAGCTAGAATCAACGATCTTTATACGGCCCTCCGCGTTGGGTACTCTTAGGGCCATATATATACCCCTACATGCTTTATCTTAAAAAGGAGATATGTCACCTACGGGCCATAGAGTTTCAGTACGGACCGTGACCCCGTTGGCCGTTGACTGTATTGAGGGGCGCGCTTGTAGTTGAGTACGAACTAATTGGTTGATCTGTGGCTTATGGTGAGCTTTATCATCTATGTTTAGTGTTTTTTGCGGGACCATGGTGGGGGAGTACCTTAACTAAATACATTCCTCAATATTCTAAATACTAATATACTATTTGAAAGCATATATATATTATAACCGATAACCCGATAACCGTTGGGGAAGAAAGGTTCTCGAGTGGCAGCCTCGTACTTGCCATCGCAGTGTAGGACGACCCCCCACTTGATGGAGTGACGACCTGTGCATATGTGCGGGAAGTCGATGGATGCAGGTGGCTCAGGATCGTGCTTCATGGCAGTCTGTGGGGGAGGCCTATGTTCAGCAGTGGACTCAAACAGGCGGAAATGATGATGATGATATATTATAGGAGCAATACATGTAATTAAAATATTATTACAAATTTAGATATTTTAATATCAGATTCCATTTTTCTATTTCAAGCACAATAATAAGGTTCCCATATTATATCACAAAATTCTCGAAACGAATAAAGGGATGAACTACCTGTAATAACAGCGACTTTGTTAAGAAGAAAAATCCTATTCCGCTCAGAGCCACGAAGTCTTTGCTTAACTGATATTGAAGCCTCTCGATCTGAAATCCATGAATTCTATATTTAGCAATAAATGTTATCATGTAATTGAGTGATCATGAGTGAACATTTTTTGGGTACATGATTTGAAGTTTAAATGTAAAAAAATGTTTATTAATATTTTATTCATTTAGTGCGTTTTAAAGATGTGTGTGTCTTAAGGCAATATCAATTACACAATTATGTAATGCATTTATCAATGCTTTCAGTGGGTTCATTTGCCCCATGAATAAGAGTAGGTACCTGTTCCTGAAGACTACAACTGTCACTATTTACTCCTATACTAGCAAATACTAGCATCCTAATCTTTCTATAACTTCCATCTAAATTCATTCAAGATTCCTTTCAAATTCTACAGTCGCCAGCCCGCAGCGTTGTGGCGTAAAATTCAAGACTCCATAGTGAAGAAAAGCCATTAATCACGGCACCCAGTTGTACTAGTTTTGGGCAAGGTTGACAGGGGGTACTAAGTGTCCCTGGTTGGCAGGGCTCCAAAACAAATTGACAATTGGCACATATAACAATCAGACTCGGAGAGTTGATGATGATGTGGGAGATCATGCCACAAAATTTAGGTCAATCAAACGGCAGATTTTGGGATATCTAAAATCCGAAGAGAGAGAGAGGGTACTTTGATTATTTAACTCAATAAAGGAGACCAGCTTTCCCAAGGTGGTGTCCGGTTCCTGGTTCAGAAAAGTGCTCGCCGCCAAAATAGAGGAGATCCAGTGTTTAGACGCGGGTGGGGTACCTTGTGCCTAAACTAATAAAAGTTACTCTCTGAAAGTCGTGCAGGTGTATGCTCCCAAGACGAAACATTTGGACGACGAGTTAGGGCAATATTTGACGATATCTCCAAGGCCATTCCAAAGTCACGTCACGTCACAGTTGTTGATGGGGACTTCAATACCGAAGTAGGAGTACAAGAAGCAAACAAATCATTTATCGGACGGTCGGGTTTGGGATCGAGAAATCACAACGGGCAGATGTAATCCAAGATAAAGTAATACTATAGATCTCTCATCTCTAGAGTACTGCTAGAGATCGACTCTGTGGCCGACCCCTCCTCAAAACATTCTAGTTTCGGAGAAGTTCCAAAGTCAATTCAGTTTGAGTGAAGCTAAAGCCGGCGTGGACGATGCTGTCGAAAACATAGTGGCAGTATTACGTGGGTAGAAAACATTTGAGGATGTAGCGTAAATTTTGTGCGTTATTAAAGTGTTTAACTTGCGATAGAGCGAAACAATGGTATATAATCCCGTGCTCTCAGCAAACCGTATGGACCAACTACCGAAGCTTAAGCAAGAGAATGGCTCTATCATCAATTCGAAGCCAGAGACCTTAGTTTAAATGGAGAGTATCATAACAGACTTCAAGAATAATTTTACAATCATTTTATATTGCTATTGTAAACGCCTATCAATATATTCTTATTATTTAGTCATGCAAGCTATGTGCATTGTCCAGTTTGCAGATTATAGCTTAATTTTATATTGATGTTCTTAAAGTTCAAATAGTTAAGCATTCTTACCTCTAAATTGTAGAATTGTGTCCGATAGTTGAAGAGATACGGCAACGCACTTTTTGAGCAAACATTTACATCGGCAGCGGAAAGGACAACCAAAGTCGTCCGTATACACAGCCACATGAAGGAAAGTAAATAATATATTTGTCTCAATCCGGTATCTGACATTCCTTGGCTAGAAAGAATATTATTATTACTGGTATTAATCTTGTCTGGCTAGTGAGCTTTGGGTTCAGCTGATGTTAAGTGATAACAGCCGCCTATGAAACACCCGTAGAGTTGCATAATTATGCGTTTCACCTTTTAATAAAATGTGCTCCGGCTACCACATTCACCAGACGAAATTTTTACCCATCAGTAACTTTGCTTTAGTGAAAATAATATGCTTAATATAATGCAATAGCTATTATGGTCTTAGAACTTACGTGATTCCCAGAAATAGCTGCAGGCATGTAAAATAGAAATTACACGAGTTGGACAGAAGTATGAGAGCCCCCAATGCGTCATTTACTTTGCGAACTAGCATCGCTTGTTTTACATACGCTTCCCTTATCTTTCGCCACATAAAGACATGAAGAGTTTCATAGTTCTGTGCAGCAAATTGAATTTTATGAAATAAGATTCATTTTTGTATACTGAATTAATTATGAACATACATTTTTACATAAGAAAAAATCTAAAAACAGTTGTTGACTCATGTTAACCATTTACAACAATGAATCCCGCGTACTCGTAATGTTATGAATAATGTTTAATGTTGTTATCTTTTGTTTATTATTTTGGTATTTTACACAGTTTCAGTAAATCACAAGAAAAGTTATAGAATAATATTTTTTATTTTGAGGCTGAAATAAACTTTTTAAAAATACATTTCAACCTGAGATAAGGGCCGTAAATTATAAAGATATCTATTAAAATAACGGTAAACAAATAGAAACTTACTTTAGAATCATCATTTTGCTTCATATTTTTGGCGCAGACTGCTGCCACGTGTTTGTTTAATCTTTGGTATCTTGAGGATAGGCCTAACGTAATAAGGACTAAAACTAAGTCTTGCAAATTCCATAAAATGGTTGCAACTGTACTTAGAATTACCAGAGATATGCCAACAGAGACTGAGTAGTCGTCTGCAATTTCAATGGAAAATTATTAGAAAAGTGATAAAAGCCTGGAACAATCTCATGGACACACAGATTGCATGCGCTTAAGTGTATGAAATCTTTGTGTCCATCGGCTTCAAGTGCGTACGGAAATTATACCCAAATGTTGTATAACTCCGTAAAATTCTTCATGTTAATATAACAAAGTATTGTATGTAGACCTATACGTCGAGTATACTTTGTATATGTATAATTTATATGTGCAAACCACATGCTAATTTTGGAAAACAAAATATAAGATACAACTTAATTGAAGCTAGAATACCTATTGAATCCAAAAATTTATTTTTCATAAATGTAAAATATTCCGTTCAAATTAAAAGAAAATTAAAGCCGTAGGGACATTGTGCAGTATTCATTATGCCTTTTGATTATCTATCTACGTGGAGGCGTTTTTAAGTTAGCGAACTTGGGAACAAAGCGGGTAAAAAATGTTCAAAATATTTTTTTTGTAATGTATTCTCTTGCAAATCAATATTGAGATCCTTCAATTAGTAAAAAAAAAAAAAAAAAAAAAAACTTTTTTTTCTATGTCGAAAAATACGAGAAAACTGCTTCTTGTAACTCCCTCCCTTAACTCTCTTCATCGGGTGGAAAATTTATTTCCACGGGTGGATGATTTAAGATATCAAAGTCCACCTTCTGCAAGAGCCAGTGCAATATGGCTCTTGTAGACGGGCACATTGTCGTGCAAGAACAGGACAACTCTAATTAATATTCCTCATATTATTTCTTAAAAATCTTATTTCAGCTACAGGATCGTTGCGGAATATACACCGGTAGGCCCAAAGATGCTTGAGAACATTCAAAGCGCTTTTTTTTTGCGGCAGCAGCGTTAGCATTCTCGGCACCTACAGTGCATTGACTTAGTCATGACCAGTCCAGTAGTATCACATAGTCCAAACATTTTTAGAGGCTGTTTCTTCTTAAGGGGGGCATCTCGATCGATTTCTATAATTTCGAGTTTTTCAATAACTATTGGAGTGGCTTCAAGTGATTCCATGCTTTGCTTAAAAAGTTTGTGCCACTTGTATATCATGGTTTTCAAATATCATAATGTGTTAAAATATTATATATACCATATAAACAAATTTTACTTGATTTTTAAGAAAGTCGAGGACGGTGTAATGTCCAGTTTTCTCCATTTTTTAAACATTCTTCCAAATTGAGTTGCTCACTGGGCAGTAGTTCGAAAAGTAATGATACGATTGAAATAAAATTTGTATTTAAGCCCTTAAGAATTCTACTTCCCCCACTAGTCCAACAATGTAATTTCGCGAAATAAATAACGCACCATCGTATAAGCGTGTACATACAGTGTTTTTATAGGGAAAGAGGAGACTCCCATTTACTTTAGTCACCAGACGTAGCACAAAAGTAAAATTACTTTGTCAATTCTTTATTTATCTCGTTTGTTCTTAAGGGGAGTTCTGTCTGTTGTCGAGTGTTAAAAAATATAATAATATATTTTTTCGTAAAATATTCAGTAATAATTCATATCAAATTCTAACTACTTGACAAACGCTAGAAATGTAAAATAGACAATAATCTTACTTGTTACAACTTACTTGGCTGTAGTAAAAACCCATGAGAAATTAATATATATTTTTCCAACCAAAGCGACGGGGGACAATCTAATCCGATTACTGAAATTACACTCAACGTGTGTTCGGCTGTAATAATAAATGTCAATGTTATATATTAATGTTAAGGGCACGAAAATTTTGCCATATATTAATAATTTTAATCATTTGGGAAAAAAACGTTACACTTACCAAAGCTGCACACAATAAAAAATTTATTGACTGTCGACATTTTTGACTCTAAATTTTGGTCAGGTGGGATTCCGCTAGTTGTAAAAGCACGTTCAATTAAAATCCAAAAATCTGATATCTTTCCCCAAGTACTTGACAATTTCCAAGTTAGAATAACCGATAAAACAGCATTCGCATATAACGTAGCCCCAGCTAATCTAGCTGTGACACTTCCTGTAAAAAATGAAAAAAGAAGTCAAAGCAGAAAGAAATGCTCTGACGAATTGATCGTAGCAAGATAATGCGACAATAAGGAAAGGAGAATCGGTGTTCAGGAATGCCCAGATGAAGATGGACTTCAGTTAGGACAGGTCATGTCCAAATTTAAAAAGAAGGAATGTATTTGTGCAAAAAAATTCTATAGTAGTAGTGTCATCTATTAAACAAAAAGGTACATTTACCAATTTAGCAATATTCAAATAATAACATTTAGGTATAACTAAATAATAAAAAAAAAAAATATTTTGCCTAAGCCTCTCAGAGCAAAAAAAAGTAAAGTATCAGCCTATACATGTCGCACTGCTGGGCAAAGGTCTCCTCTGTACAGAGGGTATCAGGGCATAGTCCACTGACGAACATGTGAAATATCTACGAAATATTTTTTCTTGTTATTATTTCGAAAATATGAAGGTTTCCTCACGATGTTTCCTTCACCGTTGAGCACGTGATGATTTGGCACTTTAAATTAACAATTTCATTGGTGCCGGTACCGGGGATCGAACTCAGGTTGCTCGAGTATATTGAATTAAATGCGAGCGCCCGGACACTGGCGGCTCTACTGAGCTATCACGGCTCTGAGCGAATGCTGGTTATATTTTATCAATTGAAAAACATCAACTAGTGTAATTGATTACTAATTGCAGGGAAACATATACTTTCGAATAAGATTATGAGCACATCGATCGATCGATTTTTTATTTTGATAAAAATATTTCTTTATTAGTTACAACAATTATTTTAGATCTAAGTTACCTATTTAATATTTGATCAAATAAACTTGAAATTTCGAGTGACATTACTTACTGTGTCCTGTTGTGTTCACCGCCCATCCCGCGAGAGCCTTAACCACTTTCCAAATCGCACCGATTTCGATGACGGTAAGGACAAATATCAGTAAAACACCCCATATTTTCCAATAATATTTTCGAGAACCAGCAATACCAAACCAACGTGACAAATAAAACACACGATGCATTATCTTTAAAAATGCCTAAAAATATGAATAATAACACAATTGATGTCAATAAAGGTAACTTTTTAATCAGATTGGTATGTACGATATACAAACATCATGTGATTTTTGGTGAATTAAATCCATTTTCCTTTTTGAGTTTAACTCCTTAATGATCCCAGACATGCTGTTCCTAATTTAGATAAAAAGAAAGATGTTCGCCAGCAAAACTATTCCCAAGGACTTTATGTGATTCCTTTAAATATTTTCCAGCATAAACGTTCCTTTCCTTGTACTATGTAGAAAATGAACATGAAGAAACTTAGTGCAACGTAAGATACGATTCAACAATGAAAGTGAATAGATTATCGTCATACTAGTTTTCGACGTTACAGATAGAAAATTGATAATTACGTACTAACGTTATAAAATTGACCGCTACATGTCCAATTCACACAGACCTTTGTGGTTTTGATTCCACTTACTGGTCACCGAATTGACAAATTATATCGTTTCCGTAGCATTAATACGATAGCAATGCAAATTAAATAAAATTATTACTTACTATATTATACAACTTTATTTATTTTCGTTCAAAATGAAAAATAATAATCGCTTGCCTCATCTGGTGATATGCAGGAACATAGCCAAATACTTTACAATGTAGTATAATTGCACATTGTTCTTGAGAAATTTTAAGGAATTTAATTAACTTTTTATCACTTTTGAATACTCTTTTTGAAATTTATTAAATGAATAAAACTGAATTATAAATGCTATAAACAGTCATATGAAGAATTAAACTCCTTAAAACGTTCGATAAAAGTTGTTTAGATATCAAGTTATAATGGTTCACTTTGCTGCACGCGATACAAACATTTTCACAAAATATTTATTAACTGTATATTGATTACCGTTGGTAAAGGTTTAGCTCTTCAAACTGCAGTCAAATTCATTACATTTCACGTGATATTAAAA